TCTATCTATCTATCTATCTATCTATCTATCTATCTATCTATCTATCTTCTGTCTGTCTATCTATCTTTCATCTATCTGTCTGTCTGTCTATCTATCTATCTATCTATCTATCATCTATCTGTCTGCCTGTCTATCTATCTATCTATCTATCTATCTATCTATCTATCTATCTTTCCCATTACTGATATTCATGCATATAAAGATTTATAGGGGAAAGGAGCAAACTGAGGAGAAAAGGAGCACCAGGAAGTAGAATGGAGCTAAGTCCTATGCTTAAGGAGATAAATGATTAAGACATGAAATAAAGGGAATTGTGACCTCAGGACAAGATTTCTACCTGGCTAAGTTTCCCACTTGTGAAAAAGAATTAAGGACTAGCTTGGGGATGGATATGATGGTGCACACCTTTAATCTCAGCACTCCAGAGCCAGAGGCTGATAGAACTCTGAATTTGAGGCCCACCTGGTCTATAGAGAATGTTTCAGGACAGCCAAGCTTAGGCAGTGAAGGAAATCATTGAAAACAGGAAGCAGGTAAAGATGCAACTGAATGAGAGGGACGTGTGCCAGTCCTAGACAGCAGTAAAACTTGGCAGTTAGGCCACATAATTCTGACATTTAGAATCAAGGATAGAAGAAAATATGTGATCTGCTTTAAATTTTGATTTTACAGAGGACTATAGTTGAGAGATTTTCATGAGTCTCAGAAGAGACTTCAGACCTTGACTTTTAACAAGTTTGAGACTGTTGTAGACTATGTAAACTTTTGAAGTTGGACTAAATGTATTCTGCATAATGGTAAGGCTTTAAGCATATGGGGTCCAGGGAATAAAATGTGGTGGTATTAATAAAAATGGCTCCCATAGGCCACTATTAGGAGGTATGGTCTTGCTGGAGTAGGTGTGTCCTTATTGAATGAGGTGTGTCACTAGGAGGTTCGTTTTGTGGTCTCAGAAACACAAGTCTGGCTAATGTATCAATTCACTTCTGCCTACAAATCAAGATGTAGAACTCACAACTTCTTCTCCAGAACTATGACTGTTGGCACTGCAGTTTACAACCTTGATCAAAAAGGATTACAGATACATAATAAATACAGATTCAGACAGAATAACCCTCCAAATGGCTCAGAGTGTGTTAAAAAATGTATGTAGGCTTTAGATAAAAAAGAAAATGGGTATGGACAGTTATAGAAACAAACTGTTTTTAAAAATATAACAGTCTTTAAAGAGACAGTAAAGTAATATGAAGAAGTCTTATAAAGATGGAATCCAGAAAGTCTGGATTATGTATGTTATTGTGCTTACTTTGGATTTTTAGTCTGTTAATGAGCTAACTGTAGAGAGACATTTGATTGTGGGGGCTGCTAAGCTAAACCAACATGCATATTTTAAAGGTATATTGAAAAATTGAGTTTAAGGATATGTTGTTTTGGAAAAGAGGTTCTGCTTTTGTTTCCACAGAAGATGAGAGCCTGTGGATTCCTTCCAGGCTAATGTGGTTTGATGGAAAAAGACCCCCCAAAAGATAAACACAAATGCACTTTGCCCAACGAACAGTAGGCAACAGTTTGAAGAAAACAATGTCCAAGTTTCCTATAATTATTACTTATAATGCTTAAATGAAAATGTCAGGTTTTATTTAAAAGGGATAAATTATAAGTTTTTAATGGTTACAGACAAACTGTTTCTAAAAAAGCAGGGGGATATTATATAGAAATGAATACACTGGTGTAGACTTTGGTTTATTACACATTTAAGGTTGATTTTGTTACACAGTATATATATTTCTACTCTTCTTTAGGGTGTTATGGTCATAGTAGCTCATTTAAAAATGTAATGTAAAGTTAATAAATACAGATTAATAATCATATATAATAATCAAACTTTTAATTATGTAGGTTAGTTAGGTTTTCTAGATATTTCAGTAATATAGATAATCTTTAACACTTTAAAGACCTACAGAATATGCCATTTAAAATGTTTTAAGAACTTAGACTTTTCTCGACAATGGCACATGTCTGCTTCTGGCAGCACCAACTACTTAGAGAGGCTGAGGGGCACTGAAGAAATTTGTTATGGAATTTGCCTTCAATTTAACAAGACTAGCCATTTGGCCAAGAAACTACTCTTTCCTGAACTGCTTGATGGTATGCTGTATAAGCTGCTCATGCAGGACCCAGAGAAAAGTGACTGCTGTACTTTTCAAAAGACGGCATGGTCTTTTAGGGTTCCAGATTCACAGAAGAAATTGCCAGACATTCTACAGGACACAAAAGAAAGCAACTAACAAACTTTGCTAACACAATGCAGAATAGATCTTCAAAATTCTTGCTTCCCTGAAGCCTGTCAGATATTATGCACCCACAGGATGAAGAAGGGTGGCCCAACATTATGAAAGAACTATGAGTGACTGTCCAGGCAGCAAGATGTCTCTGTTATTTCCAGAACTTTATAAATTGCTTACAATGTAAACTTCCTGTTTACTTAAGTAATTTATCCTTCTGGAGTCTTCAATGGAGTTGAGGAGAGATAGTTATAGTTTTCCTTAGTTATGATAAAAGATGAATTATATATTAAAATTTATACTCACAAAGAAATCTTATAACTGTAATTCTTGCTTGATACATATTTTGTTATATGTAATTTTCCATGTTAAAGTTATGAACTTTTTTATTTAGACAGAAAAGGGAGATGATGTGTGATTCCCATTAGTATAGTATGAATGTATTTTATTAACATTGGTTAATAAAGAAGCTGCTTTGGCCTATAGCAGGATAGAATATAGATAGGTGAGAAATCTACTCTACAGAATGATATTCAGATGTAAAGGAAAAATTAACCATGACCTTCAAGTAAATGGATGAGACTAGAAAGTATTATACTGAAGGAGGTAACACAGACACAGAAAGACAAATGCCCACATGTTCTCTGTCATCTGTGGTTCCTAGCTGTACATCTTCAGATGTGAGTCTATCACCTAGAGTCACTTCAGAAACCAGGAAAAAAACATGGCATGGAATAGAAGTATACAAGTAATATGAAGGTGGAAATGAGAAAACAGGGTTGGGCATTTTAAAGAGGAAACAGAGAGTAAGGTCAATAAAGATGAGTCAGTAATAAGGGATAAATAACACTAAAGATGTTTGAAAAATCAATATAGGTTACTGCTATTTTCCTTTGTTTTCTCCCAGAAGTTTGGGGTAAGTCCCTATTTCTGAAGACCTCATGTACTTTGGACATGTGATTCAGACAATTTGAGTTGGGTCCAATTTGAAAGCCTACACCTGAAGACAAACTTTAAGAGTGACAGAAGATTCTATGCAAGCTGCCAAAGGAGAAAACAATCAATGCTCTTATTTAGCCATGATACCAATAAGCTATAATCATGACTCACATGGAAAAATATCTTAAAATATGAAATAGTGGTGCTCATATCTTTGCAGCAATCAGTAGCTCTCTAATTAGATCTAAGGTGCACACACCAATAGGAAAATCAAACCTGATACAGAAATATAGCCAACTGCCCAGGGCTAGTGAGGTCATGAATCTTAGAGGAGAACTTTTCCACTGCTATTTTACTAGACCAGTATACTTCCTAACCACACTCTAATTATGTATCCCTATACCCAGAATCTTTTCTTTGCTGCCAAGGGAGACCAATACAAGAAAACCACAACTGTTCAAAATGCATAGAATAACTGGTCATCGGGTGCCCAACCCCATCAGATACATCTATAACACAATCTCTATACTCAAGGATCATGAAAATTCTAGAAGACACAGTGGAAAGATTGTAAGATGCAGAGGATCTGCTGTAAGAGTGTGTCTCCTGTCTTCTAGAAATAACAGAAAAGCTATACCATCTATCCTATTACATTATGGCTGCCTAAACAAGACCAGAACATGACGACACCAATAGATATGCTGTTGTGGAAGGGGAAAATCTCACAAGGCTTCACCTCTAGACAGAGAACAGCAGGCAAATAATGACTATTGAGAAAAAAGAATTAGTCTTCTTTGGTGTTGAGATTCCTATTGGTTACCCAATACCAAGTGGTCTGTTCTTAAATCATATACATAAAGCAACACTAGATGAACTCCACAGATCATGTATTTATATCTATGCATATATCTATGCATATATGTATATGCACATACATACAATAAAAGAAAAAGAGGCCATTATTTTGAAAGGGGGTAAGGGATTAGAAGAGATAGGAGGGATTAGAAGAAAGAGGAGAGAGGATGTTATGTGATCATGCATTAACTAAGAACAAGGGATTTAATCAAAATTCAAAAATATCTCATAAACAGTTTGGTTGAGCTCGAACAGCTATAAGCAAAGGGGTGAGTTAGCACTATTTCTGTAGTTATCAGGAGGAATATTAAGGTGCTTTTGGACTTAAAGACAGGCACCCCTGTAAACACATGCAAGCTTTACTGTTTTGATTGGCTGACTATGATTTGTATTACTTTTTATTCTCTCTAAATTTTATAATTTTTCCGTTTTAACCTTTCAAAATTTCTTCAGTAAAAATTAATATATAACTATAGCATTTTGTGTCATCCTGAGAGTTATGTTATTTTAATATATATATATATATATATATATATATATATCCACAGTTAGTATGCACATGTGCATCTATGGAGGCTGGAAAACTAGAGTTACAAGGGGCTGCAAACAAAGACGTGTGGGTGTGGGGAAGCAAGTTTCTGTCCTCTGTAATAGCAGCAAGCACTCCTAACTATTGAGCCATCTCTTCAGCACGAAAATTTAATGTGCAATGCTAAAGTCAGAGTAGTAGAAATTTTATTTCCTTAAATATTAATGGATACCTTCAAACTTTGCCCTTTCAGTTATTTGTAAAGCATAATAAATTACTTTAATGTGTAACTCACACTAATAGAGCCTATTGTTCCCAAACAATTATCTTTGCTACCTCTAATTATAGGTACCAAACCAGCCTTCCTCTAAATTCCCATGCCACTTTCTCTTTTCAGCTTTTAGTGACAACTGTTCTACTTTCTCCTATAAAATTAATTTCAAAACTTTCATAGAAGAATAAGAATCTTCAGATCTTTTCTCTCTTTGATGGCCTACTCAGGAAAGAAAAAATTCAGCCCTATTTTTAAAAATCTTACTACAAACATCTTACAACAATGCATTTCTCTTTCACTCTCTGCTTCTCTAAGTCATAACTGTTTACAATAAGGATGTACTTGTTGCTAAGAAAATGATGGGGATGAAAACAGTCTTGTGACTGTGTGACTGAGGAACTAACAGAAGAATATATATTTTTTCTTGTTATCATACCTTACATTCCAGAAGTTGAGCCAACATTTGCCGAGTTTTTATGCAGCAGAAGAAATGCATAAGGAAAACATGAGAAAGACTTTCTAGAGATTACTAAGACCTCCTCCTTCTGAACTTCCAGATCTCAGAAGCCTTCAAGCACAGGTCTGTAGCCTCCCTAAAGATATAAGGACAAGAATTTCCCCAGAGGCAAAAGCAACAGAAAATGATAGACGAGACCTTTCGTGAATAGATGCTAAGTACATAACCTTACTGAATTCTGATACTTACATGAACTTGATGGTTGCAAGCCAGCACCTTGCTGTTCTGATAGACAACCCCAGTTGGCTCAATCAGATTTCTGATAATGGTCAGGTGTTTTTCAGTATCCAGGGAAAGATGATAGAGAGTCAGATAAGGACCAGGCAATCTTGACCATCAAGCCTTCTTTCTTCTCAAATTCTGGCTGTATGATTCTGCCTGTCTGACAACTTTCTCTTTTTCTTACAGAGAAATTTCCAGTGATCTGGTTGCAGTAACAGAGAAGTGAAACCAGCTTGCAACTCATGTAGCTTAGGTAATAACAAGGCTTCCGTCACCCAGGGAAGGAACAAACAAATTCTGACTCATACCTGTCATGCTCTGAGTACTGCCCCAAAAAGATATGATTAATTTATTGGGCATGGCAAAAGACTTGGTTTATAAAAGTACAAGCAATAGACTCTCAATTCAACTTTCAGAGAGCAGACAATGGCTAGTAAGACGTCTGAAACAAAATAGCCAGCTAATCCATCAAGTAAAGGAGCCCCACAATTTTCCAGGGTGATAGAATAAGCTGACCATGAAAACATAGCAAAATGAGAAGGATTCAGAACACATCAGTAGTTTAAGATAGCTAGAGTAGAACAGAGGTTGAGGAGGCATAATAAGAGATGAACTACTGAAAGTAAAAGGATAACCTTATGAAAAGGACAATTTAAAAAGCATATATATGTATATATATATATATATATATATATACACACACACACACACACACACACACTTAAGAGTGTGAGGATTTATTGCCCATAATGTTATAGCTGAACTTTAAAAATAATTATGTACGTATTTGTGTATATTTATAAAAACAATCACACATTTATGCATATATGTTCTCACATATAGAAGTATAAGAAAATGAATGTGTTTATATGCATATATGACACGATGTATATAAAAACATTTTCAATTATGAAAATAAACTTAGTATGTGTGCTAGTGATAATACAAGCATATATGTGTACTTTTTGTGTAAACAGTATAGTATCTTTACATAATACATATGTATTAGTTACCATCCAAGATGATGTGACAAAATACCTGGCAAAACCAACTTGTAGAGATGATTTATTTGGCCAACAGTTCAAAAGAACATCATGGTGTGGCAAGACCTGCTGGTCACGTTGTGGTCAAAGTCATCACGCAATGTTCAATGAATGCTGGTACTCAGTTTGTTTTCTCCTTTGTAATATCTTCAAAATTATACTTTTATTTAGTGTTTGAGAACTGCATATAAAATATTTTGATCATATTCATTCCCATCCTTCATCTTCTCCCAGATACCCTCATCTCTCCCTATTCCTCACCAAACTTCTTGTGGTTTTGTTCTAAAATGGAAAAAAAATGCAAAAACAGAGTTCACTGTTCTACTGTTGTGAAGAGACACCTTGACCAAGGCAATCTTATAAAAGAAAGCATTTAAATGGGGGCTTGCTTACATTTTCAGAGGTTTAGACCATTAGCAGCATAGTGGAGAACATGGCAGAAGGTATGGCAGGCATGGTGCTAGAGAAGTAGTTGAGAGCTCTATTCTTATCTGCAGGCAGACAAGAGGTCTAAGGCCATGATACCTGTTCTCCAACAAGGTCACACTTCATA